CTAGAGCAGGCGGGGGTCACTCGGCCACTCCAGAGCGGGCGGGGGTCACAGGCTAACGTGCCTACTCGCCCCTGTACAGAGTGTTGCCAGGGCAGCCTCAGGATGGCTGAGGTGTGCTGAGACTGGGGCGGGAGTGGCCTCAGGGGCACACGGTGTGGCAGGAGGGGGTGGAGGAGGAGACCAGGAAGGAGGTTGCGTGCTACTTGCCAATTTATCCAGCATTTCAGAAAACAGCTCCTTGCCGGCCGAGTCAAAAATGAAGAGCTCCTGCAATCAGAAAGCAAGTCCCAGCGAGGGGCACGAGGGAAACCATGGGCCTCGAGCTCTGCTGCCACTCTGTCACCCGGTCACCGCAGGTGGGCTTGGTGGCAAAGGGCACGTGCCCACTGCACACACGTTTCATTCACGCTTTCCCGGGGCGCCAGAGAGAAACGGGGAGAAGGGACTCCAGAGCCCCCGGGAAGCAGTGGCAGGTCCCCACCCCGCCCAGTATGGTCTGCAGGGAGCCTCAGAAATACAGGGCACAGGCTGGCCTCCCACCTGGCAGAGCAGAATGCCAACCAGGCCGAGGAGCTCCGGGCTCCGAAAGGTCATGGCGCACTTTGTTAACCAAATCGATTTCCAAGTCTTCAAACGACTCTTTTTAAAGGAGGTCACCGAGCAGGCCTGGGAAGGYGCTCAAAGTAGGCCAGGCTGACGTCGCACTGGGATGGCCCAGGCGCCACTCAGACAGAGGGCACCAGATGCCCCTTCCCACCTGCCCACCTCACCCAGCCAGGTGGGAGCCCCTCCCCGGCTTCTGGCCCCTGGCCCCTGCTCTGTGGGTGCGGGGCCACGTCACCTGCACCAGGAAGCGCAGGACTGCTCCCRGGTTTTCTTTTTGGCTCATGGGCCTCTTTAAGAATCTGGAGAGCTACAAACCCTCCTGCCAGGAAGGGACACAAACGACATCTTGCCATGGAACTTCAAGAGCCCTGGGACTGCTGAGGAGGGACCCTGGGCGGCCAGCTCCTGTGGGGAGACGGGTTCCCCAGTACTCCAACCCCTCGGTCCCTCTCGAACATTCCTGCATCCCCTGATTGGGTCCCCGATGCTCAGGGGAATCTGGGCCCAGTCCCTGCACTGGTCCCACACTGGTCAGTGTGGCCCACAGGAGGAGCCTGGTGCCCCCAGGCGGGGGTGCCACTCACCACACTGTCGCCGGTGTCGGGAACTGGCACCGTCTTCACCACCAAATCCACCCCTGCTGTCTGCCAAGGAAGACCCAGGGCACGGGCGTCAGGGACCCCGTGGAGGGGAGATGCAGGAGGACCCAAGAACCCCGCACCCGGGACGTCCCCAGCCCAGTGCTTGTGCCCCGGAGGAGAAGGGCCCCTCCTCCTGCCCATGAGTGAGCTGCTGGTGGGGGTGGCGTGCTGTGCTCTGGAGGCCACTCTGCAGACCGCCCCTCCCTGGGCTGTGGGTGACACGGTCACTGGGCAGCTGGAGGCCTCTCGGCTTCTGGCAGAAATTCTGCAGAGCTGCTCCCTCAGGCTGTGGCCCCTGCTCACCAGGGTGTAGTTCTGGAAGTGCACCCCATCGCTGCGGAAGAGCTGCGCCAGGGCCGTCTTGCCCACCGTCGGGTCTCCTGAGCCAGAGCAGAGGAGAAGTGTCACTTGGGTCCCATCAGAACTGAGGACCCCTGCCCTAGAACTGCACCGAGTTTCCAGGGCAAAAGTCCTCGGCTCTAAGGGAGCCCGCGAGGCCCCAGGCAGGGCCACAAGACGAATCGAGACCCAAGAGGGCTGGGGTTCCTCCCCACGCGGCTAAGGACGCTTTCATCCTAAAGAACAGCCCAGGAGGGGACAGAAAGCCCTGGCCCAGAAGTCACTGTCCTCCAACTTGAATTCACACGGAAGTCCCTCAGGAGGAGCAGAGAGCGGGCCACTGGAGCCCAGGGGACTCAGGGACACTGGTGCGCATTTCTGGGGAACAAGAGGCCCAAGCTCCGTTTCCATCCTGAAAGCGGCTGCYGAGGGACACCCTCCGCCCACCCTGGAGGGCACCTTCCGGGCCTCTCCACCAACCCGCCTGCAGCGGCGGCCACTGCTCCGCGGGTCAGTCCCTGTCGCGGTTCTTAGCCTGCGGTCTAAACCTCTCCAGAGACCAGCGCTCCTCGTGCCGCCTGTATGCCCCTCTGCCCACACCCTGCCTCCTGTGATGCCCAGGTGTCCTGTGGGCAGACTCCAGCCCTGACAGGACCGGTCTCTGCTTCCCAATCCTCAGCAAAATGTCCGGGGCACCTGTCCCTCTGACGTGCCCCTCTGGGCTTCTGGCTGCACCTCCGCGGCCCCCTCCACAGCCACATGCTCGCCCAGCTCCTCGACGCTCGTCTTTCCCACCCGGTTCTGCTCTTCTGAGATGATCATGACTTCTCGTGGCCTTTCCTGCTGTGAGCTCCGTGGCTGCGAGTGGAGCGCTGCTCAGGGCTGGCTTTCCCATCTGCCACTTCTTAGACGGGACCGACCTGCCCTGTGCTCCCCTCATGGAGCCAGGCACACGCATTCCTTCCTTCCCACCCGGTGCCCTGCAGCATCCACCTCACCCGACAGAGGAAGAGACCGAGGCTCAGAGAAGCTGGGTGACCTGCCTAGGGTCCCAACACCGTGCTCCCTCCTCCAGGCCCGGTCCTCTCCTGARCTCAGAGGCCAATTCTGGCCTGTTTCATCAGCGCAGCCCTCCAGGACACCTGGACGCCACAGCCTGGACTGTCACGGGCCCCCACCTGTCCCAGAGCACGTCCCTTTCCTCCTTTGCGCCTTGATGCGGACACCCTCCAACTCCAATTCTGCTCCTGAATCCAGGTGGGGGAGTGGCTCTTCCTGCTGTGGACTCCCCACAGACTGTCTCTGGCCGTCGGCCAGTCACCATCACCAGCACTCAGGGGAGGCCTCCGGGTGGGCTCGAGGGGCGGGGAACACGGGGGGGACGAGAAACACTCAAAGCAGCAGCATGGCCAGCGCCCGCTCACTCAGCACCCGCAGGGACAGAGCGTCTGAGGAGCACTGGGGTCCAGCCAGCGGCCGGTCAGCGTGGGGGCCTCCTGGGGGCCAATGGCTAAGCCCGGAGGGCCAGGTGGGCAGCAGGACTGAGCCCGCAGGATGGGATGCCCAGGGGCCTCTCTTCAGCACTTGTCCTTCATGTCTTGGAGGGCAGGGCAGCCTGAAGTGTCCCTTCTTTCCGAGCCTGTCCCCTGGCCTTGGTGACCCACACAGGCTGCTCCTCCGCCTCCCAGATGTGACCACTGCGTGGCGGACCCTCAGCTGGACCGCTTGGGTGGTCCCGGGTTCCAGGGGTGGTCAACGCAGACCCCGTGGGCAGTCTGGAGCAGGTTCGGTGGCTCCGGCCCTGACGCAGGGCAGAGCTCTTTCGCGTGGGAGACGGGCCCAGTGACCTGATGCTGGTGACTCCTGGTGCCCGGTCAGCCGCAGCCCCTCCTCAGAGGCCACCTCCCAGCTCAGGGGTCCGTCCCTGGGTTTCCAGCAGCCCGTGGTCCATGGCCCGGGTCCTCCAGCTTCTGCGGCCCCCATCGGAGGGACCAGGCCCATTAGAAAATCTCCCACCAAAGGCCACGCTGTTCGTGACGGCCGGCCGTGGGAGGCCGTGCTGCCCAAGGGCCTCCGCCCTTGCCCTCCTCGCTCCGGCCCGGCCCGACAGGCGGGTCCTTCACAGGATTTCTTGTGGCTCTTCCTCCTGTCTTGCTGTGGGCTGGGAACCCAACCCCGGGCCTTGTGCRTGCTGGGCGAGGGCTCCACCACCAGGCCGCCCCCAGCCCCAAGGTCCCTTCCAATTCCCTCCAACGGCCCCTGCCACAGGAACTGCTCTCTCCACGCCTGTTCTCTGGTCCCTCACGTCCCTCAAGGCCACTCCTGCCCGCCCAAGTCCAGATCTGCCGCTCCCTCCTGGAAAGGCTAGCTGGTGGCTTCCTCTCTGGCCTGAGGTCACCTCTCCTCCTGGTCTTCAGCAGGTGGTGCCGGGGCTCAGTGCACTAGCACCTGACGTCAGGACTACCTTCCAGGGAGGCACGGCGATCCTCCCACACCCAGGACAGGCGGTGTCCCCTGGCACTTAAGGGCACAGTGATCCACGGTATTTAGTGGCAGACTCAGGCTCCACCACATACTAGCTGGGTGACGTCAGGTCAGTTACTTAACCTCTCCCGCCATAGTTGCTCCGTCTGTAAATCAGATAAGACCCACRCCACAGGACTGTCAAGGAGATTTAATGAATTCATATACATGGTGCCTACATATGGCGACTGCCATTTGTTTTAACCAAACAAATTATAGATAAAGGTCCAGGGTGGTTTTCCCCTCTCCGTCTGAACAGAGCAAGCAGCACTGTGTTCTGAGGTACGTGGCCGGCGCCTGCACTCAAAGGCAGTCTGTGCCGTGGCACAACCTCTGCCCTCCTCGGCCCCTCCTGGAGTGTGGGGCTGGCTGACCCACCTTTGCCTTCCCACGGCACTTTGCGTGGTGACTCACACATAGTAGATGCTCAATGCATATCTGTTGAGTGAATATTAGGTCCCTTGATGACTAGTTTTGTGAGACCAAAGAATGTGGGCCTACAAGGGGTGAAAGTAAAAATAAAACCAGTGAGGGGTGCTGTGAGGATCTGGGGGTGCTGCCATGGCAAGCTGACTCACTGGGCTGGGGTCTGTGGTCCCTGGAGACGTCCAAGAAGAGATGCCCTTGAGCCCTTGAAAGTAGGCTGCAGACACTGGGCCAGGCGGAGTTCAGGGGCCACTGACCTGGGTCATGACTGCAGTCAGGGGAAAGAAGGGCTACAAGGAACAAGCCTCAGCCCAGGGTAGCCTGGGTACGAACAAAGCCCTGGGCCCAGGCTCTGAACCATGCAGCTCTGCTGCTGCTGGCTGTGTGACTCAGGGCAAGTGGTCTCCCCTCTTGCCCTGAATGAGAAAGACCACTCAGAGAGAGACAGAGGCCGCTGTTTTCTGTTTTGTTGTTTTTTAAAATCTAACTTTAGAAAAAAACAAAACAGTCCCACCGTCTCCACGAGGGACTGAAGCTTAAGGAAACAGTCCAACATGCTGCCGGCCCCGGGAAGAGAGCAGCCAGAAACTTTTGTTATCCAACACCGCCTCCCCTGGTGCTCTGGGCACCGGAGTCTCTGGGGAACCCTGGGTTTCTTTTGCTCCAGTCTGATCTGAATCACTGCTGTCCGTCATCTTTCTGCGTGACCCTTTTATTTTCAAATTAGAAAGTCATTAAAAATACTATCCTCTACTTTCAGCCTGAGAGAGAGGAGTCAAAAGGAATCTTCTTTCCTTCACAGAGTTTCTCACCACTTCTTAGGGAGGCCTGGCAAGGTGGCGGGTCTCAACAGTCACACTCCTTCAGGGACTTGGGTATGGAAATCCTGGGTATGACCTTCGCTAGGTAAGATCAGGGAAAAACAGAACCTACCCGAGGGTGCGACAGAGCAGGATTGAAGGGAAAACACGTGTCTGGCCTACAGCAAGGACTCAGTGGAACMCACGTGTTCTGCCTCCACCAACGTATAATCTAAGCAACTGCTTCCTCAGCGTGCAGACCGACTCAGGGAAAACTGTACCATGTGAATGCCACAGATCCATTCATTCTACAAGCATTTATTGAGTACCTCCTATGTTCCGGGCATTTTTGCTGGCTGTTTGTAGGTCAGTCAATGAAACACAGATTCCTGCTTTGCCGGGACTCAATGTTTATTATATCCTCCTGAAAATGGGCGGCAGGTAGTCAACTAACAGGTGCCTCTGCACACTCTGCCCCCTGTACTGTAAGCCCTCTTCCCTAGCCCTCTTACCAGAGGAGTGGGATCAGGAAAACAATCCCATGTGTGAAGAATACCAAAGTAGTGATTCCGAACATTGAGGTTCAGCAAATGGTTTGGTTGAAGCGCCGGGGGTTTGCTTAGCCGGGTTGTAGTGCAGGTCAGCGGGCGACGGCGGAGTCGGACGGGCAGGGAGCAGGGGCTCAGAAAGAGAGTTCTTCCCCGCCCGACGGAATCTGCTCTGTCGGAATCGCAGCCGCCGCCACGGGGAGAGGGTGGACACTTCCCGGAGAATTAGGGAGCCCGCGGACCCCGGAGACCGCGGCAGTCCGCGCGGGCTTCCAGACTCACCTGCCAGGATGCATTTGGCTGCCAGCTTCACCATGGTAACCACCACTACCGCCGACCCGGAGTGAAGAGCAGCGGCCAGAGGCGTCGGAGGGTGGGTTTCGCGGCCTGGGCGGTGGAAGCGGGGASGGCTGGTCCCCTGCGCCCGTGGCCCGGTGGGGACCCGGCGGGATGGGGCCTGGACCTCCCGGGCGGGGCTGGGAGACCGAGAGCTAGGGTGGGAGGGAACAGGACTCCAGAGGGGTCCCGGATCGGGGCGGCGTGACAAGAGCAGGCGGGACGATGAGGACCCCGCTGCCCCTCTGCTCAGGCCGCGGCCGCGGAGTCGGGGACAAACACGCTCGACCACCCCCGGGTCCCAAGCACCAAGCGAAAAGCCCTCGCTGGGCAACCACCGTCCGCTGCCCCGCCCCCTCCCCCAGACGGCCCCCGATTGGCTGCTGCCAAAAGCTCCCACCCCCAATGTTCGGCTGAGACCCAGTAGGAGGAAGGGGCKGGGCTTACCTTCCTTTCTAGAGAGACGATTCGTAGCGGTATCTGTTCTTCCACTTCACGCCGCTTGGCCAGTGGTTCTAAATGATGTCGATCATGTCGTCTCCCGCTCCCGCTCAGAAGCGTCACGGGAAAAGCAGCTTCCACGTGAGTAGCAGAGGCGGTGATAAAAGAAACTTTCTGATTGGCCAGAAGGTGGCTTGGACTATGTTCGAGAGGCATGGGGATTCGTCACACTCCCCTGCCTCCTGGAAATGGTTTCGTCCACGAGGGGCCGGTCCGCCGGCGGCAGTCTGGAGCGGCGCCTGCGCAGTAGTCGAAGCCGCAGTGGCGGGAGCCGGGCTTTACTTTGCTTCTTGCTGCTGGTCGGTTTCCCGCGTTCCGCGGAGAGCGGTCGCGCAGCTACAAATCCGGTCCTCGCCCCGCATCCCGAAGAGCAGCCCCGTTTTTAAAGCCCAAGCATGTTATGCGCCTTAAAATCGGAAACAGGGGAGGGAGGAGTGGGGAAAGGTTGATCAGTGAGTGCCTCGCTGTTGCCCGACTGGGAGCGGGAAGCTCTGTTGCGCTGCAGCACAGTTGGCGGCTACAGCCCGTACGGACAATGTCCTGCGCCTTTCAGAAAGCTAGAGGAAAGGGTGTGAAAGTTCTTACCATAAAGAAACTGAGAGAGAGATGCGTTCAACCTGGTTTAGCATTGCACAATGTACGCAGACCTGCATGGAAACCGCGCAGGGMGACCCGTGAATATGTGTAATTTTATGTTATTCCGTATCGTTAAAAATAAATGCAAACCAAAAAATAAAAATGTAAAATACGAAAGATTTTAAAGCGATGCCTGTGAACAGAAGGGAGAACGTGTGGACTTTGCAGAGGGGAGCAGGGTCTCCCAGGGATTTGAACTTGGACTTTCCTTAGTCCCTTTCCTCCCTGGAGAATGCACCCCATGCCCATTGTTGCATGAGAGGGTGCAGTCCACCAAGCTGCTGGCCATGCAGGAAGGCTCTAAATATTGGCTGAGCTTCCTGGGGGAGTTGCTTTGCCATCAGGTGGACAGAGACCAAGTCACCCCTGAGCCTCTACAGATGGGCCAAGTTAGAACCCACCTGGTAGGGGTGGGAGGTGGGGATGAGAGAGAAAGCATGTGAGCTTCCAGGACATGGGAGGTGTGCATCAGGTCATCGCCCAGTGATGAGTGAGGAGGAAATGACCTGGACAGATTCCCTGTATCATCCACCACTCATTCTCACTCTCCCTGGGCCCCGGGCCCTTGAATGGCCAATGCTGAAAGGGAAGAACAGCCCATGGGTGTGGATGCCTGCTGCCCCCAGTTAGCTTGCAGATAGCTGAGTGTGTGTGTGCACGCACACACACGCGCATGTGCGCACACACACACACACACACACACACACACACACACACGGCCACGAAGGGTCCAGCCCTGGGTGCAGGGTTGAAGCACAGCGCACGTTGGCATTTTCTTTCCTGAGACCCGTTCCTGCTTTTCTTCATGCTAGTTCCTCTCAGACCCCCAACCCTGGGTGAGCAGAGCGCTGCTGCCTGGTCCCCGGCTCTGCCCTCCTCCAGGACAGCCTGTTCTACCAGTGACCCCCTCGTTTCCTGAGTGCACCACCCTCCAGAGGCAGCCCAAGGTAGTGACACCCTGGGCTCCCCCTGAGGACCGCCCCTGGGGCCCTGCCCTTGCTCCTTGTCTGCAAGGGGGTGACTCCTCCCTCCAGGGCCCGTCCTCCTGGTCATACCCACTTCTTCCTTTTGGTGTCAGCGCCATTGTAGRGGCATTTGGATATTTCCAGAGAGATGAAATTGTCCCCAGGGTCTTCTGTGCATTCTCGATGACAGCTGCRAGACTGAAAGCCACGGGGTTTGAGATGGTCTGAGAGTTTTGGAGCAGGGAGGGCTCCTGAGCAATTCCTGCCCCCTCCCCCACCGAGCTCCAGTAGCCACAGCCGTGATGTTTGCCAAGAATGAATGCACTGTGAGCCTCCAAGGGTGGTCAAGAACTGCTTAATCTAATAGTCACAATCAAAACCGACACTCACAAAACCCCCGTGAGGCCTGGATAGGTGGGGAGGCCAAGGCCCACGCGAGGCCACGCTCATGCCAAGGGGGCTGGGGCTTGAACGTGGGTAGTCTGTCCACCCAGCACGCCTCCCTCCGACACTCTGGCACTTTCCCTCTGATTGAGCATCACAGGCCACGCACGTGCCAAGCCCTTCACATCCTCTCTCGTTTGACGTCACAACTCTGGCGAGCGGAGGTACTACTGTGATTGAGCAGGCGAGGACCCTGAGGGCAGGAGAGGACCCTGAGGGCAGGAGAGAGCCCGAGTCACGTGACAAGTCGGCCAGAACCAGGCAGGGGACCCAGCCCAGGCCTCTGACTCTGGTTTTCTAATCCAGGTTCATCCGCCAGCCTCTCCTGGGCTGGGGGCTGGGCTGGTGCCGGGGCCACTGAAGTGAGCCCCGCAGGTTGCCAGCCTCGCTCTGGCCTGTGTGGCCCGCGTGGGGATGTGGGCCTGGATCGCAGGACACTGGCTTTTTTAGAGGGGCCAGGAATCAGGGCTTTTCTGTGAAATCCCCGGCCCTTGAGGATCGGCAATGAACTTAGATTGGAAGCACTCAAGCAGCCATGGAGATGGCTGATGGCCGCTGTGACCTCTGGTCAAGAAAGGATGTGGGGATGTGGGACGTCACAACAAACCTCGGGACCGGAGGACACTGGATCCCTGTGCCTCCAGGAGCACGCCGCCCSGGATGGCCAAGAGGAAGCCGGGCAGGCTGAGGAGGGTGGGCTGAACTGAGCCAGGGCTTCGGGTAAGTGGGGCAGAGACGGCTGCTGACAAGCAGCTCCAGGAGGACTCCATCATCGCGGGTCGGCGACTCCCGACAGCCGGGCAGCAGTAGGCGCAGGAGCTGCGGCTTGGTCCCAGTGACGTGGCCATATTCCCAGCAGGAGCTGTGGCTTGGTCCCAGTGACGTGGCCATATTCCTAGCCCTGCACCTGGGCTGGTGAGGCCCACTGCAGGGCCCAGGTCCTCCCGCCACCTCACCGCCACAGCCAGGGTCCTCCCTCTGCTTGGCCCCACCAGGGCCACCACTTCCAGGGGGGGCAGCAGTTTTCTTGGTCAGAACTCAGTCCTTTGGGTAAAGAAGAGGCTTGGGGAGAGGAACTGTGGGAAAGGCCCCAGCTCTTCGGGGAAGCCCTGATCTACAGCCCTCCCTCAGGTCCCGAGAGCCTGGGGTGGTGGGTGGGACGCGAGGTCACCTCTGGAGCGCGGCGCTGGACGTGACCCTGCTGTTCGCTTTGCCCCCACTCGCCTGGGCCTGGGCGTTTCCGTCTCTGCCCAGGTGGTGCTTGGCCGTGGCCATTTCGCTAAAGGGCAGAGAGCTGGAGACTGACTCACCTGCCATGTGCCTGGAAAGCAAAGTGGCCGGAGCCCTGGCCCAGCGCGGACACTGCCGTGCGCGGATCCCGTCAGCAGGGGGCAGCAGCAGCCGGGAAAAGGAGGGCGCCCAGGGCGAGCCCTTTGGATTGATTTTGCAGCTGCTTTTATTCAAGGCTGAGGACATCATCTTTTCAGAGACCCCAGGGATCGTCGCAGGAAGCCAAGAGTTGCTTTTCCAGAACATTCTGTGTTTAGCCTCTCTTGCCCTTGGGCTCAGCCAGTAGAGAACTGGGAAGTTGGCAGAGGGCAGGTGACTCACCTGAGCATGGCCCTGGGAGGACGTGCTCCAGTCCCTGCCCAGAGCCTGCTGAAGTCCCTCCCTGGTCCTTCTCTGCACTCTGTGCATAAAGCTTGTGTCACGGGGTTTGAGAAGGGGACAGATGACTCCYGCAGCTCAGCCTGAACCAAGCCAAATGCTACTGAGGCAAATGAGGCTGCCCCTGTCTCTCCAAATCCCTTCCCCCTTTCCAGCCCCTACCTGCATAAGACCTTGGAGCCAGAGGACAAAAAGCCCTCCCCAGACTGGCCCTCCTGCAACTGCCTGGGCCCATCTGAGCTTGTCCCCAGCCCCCAGAGCCTATAATCCCAGTTGCTAAGGAGGCGGAGGCAGGAGGATCGCCAGTTTGAGACCAGCCTCCGTAACTTAGTGAGTCTCAAAATAAAAATTGAAAAAGACCAAGGATGCAGCCTAGTGGTAGGGCACCCACCCGTTCCACCCCCAGTACCAAAGAGAGAAAGAACCCCAATAACCTAGTTTTCTTCTCCTTCCATCACAGAGCCAAGCTGCACATCCCCCTCTGCATTTTGCTTTTGGGGGACCCCATGCCCAGCATACAAAGTGCCCCCTGTTCTTTTATTATGGCTGAGTTTGTTCTATTCCAGAGCAGRATCTCTCTAAATCTTTTCACATGTCCACCCAAAATCCCAGAGTCTCCCTCCTGGCCTTGGGATGAAGTCCGCCTTCCTCGTGGGGTGGCCAGTGGGTGGCGGGGGRAGGAGGTGTTCCCACCACTCTGTGCCACTCTCTGTGCGCAGGCAGCGGGCTCCCTGGGACCTGCAAACCTGACCTGCCTATTCTGCCTCAGGGCCTTTGTCCCTTCTGTCCCCTTTAAACCCACTTAAGTCCTAATATGCTTTTCTCAGCTCAAATATCACCCGCTCTGTGTGCCCCGTCTGTGCCGTGAAGGCAGTGACCGCATCTGTGGTTACTGGCAGAGTGCCTACTGGTGAAGGAATAGGTTCTAGAGCCAAAGCCTTCAGGCTCTAATCCTACCTGTGTGACCTTGGGCAGCTCACCACACCTCTCTGTTTCAGTTTCTTCCCACGTGGAATGGGAGCACTAATCCATCCTTTGTCCTGGGGTTGAGATGAGGGTTGAATGTCTGGCCAGCACATGTCTCCACCCAAGTCGTGTGTGTGTGTGTGTGTGTGTGGGGGGGG